TAATTAAAGAGCAAGAGATTCCCTGGACTATGATGTTGACTTGTAACAAGAGCTCAAGTAACATTTTTTTGCCGTGGAGTATAGACAAAGAGTAAGCAATTGCTTTGCTGGAGTAATTGAGCCATTTCCAAGTTGTGCTGTATCCCAAGGAGAGCTTAATGGAAGCTCTGGTGCATCAGCCCCATGTGCAGGCGGATTTCTGTGTTCTGTGGCCTCCCAGCATGATATAGGCTGGCAAGTGATAGTAGAACAGGAAGTAATTCGTGTGTCAAAGGCAACTGAGTATGCAAAGAAATAAAATCTGCTTTAGTTGTTTTTAATATCCTTGTTCTTGATCTGTTGAATTCTCTTTTCATCCCCTATTCAAGTGTGTGAGTATATGTACAGTTGTTCACTGGTTAAGCTTAGAATATTCCACGTGCTTACTATCAAAACTGCCTGTGAGGTTTCTTGAAAACCAGCGTTTCTAGATTTGGACTCTAGATTTGTTTATGTACTGATGGATAAAGATAAGATTTCTTTCAAAACCATTCTTAAGGGATCTAAAAAATATCTAAATAATCATTTATTATTTCATAATAATGAAATCAATTTCAAAAGTACTGTTAAGATATTTGGTACCAAATAAATTACATGTGAGTATTGATAAAATAACTTGAAAGAAAAGGTTTTGTTTCGGGAACATCAGGAAAATGCAGAGCTTTGATTTTATTTTACATTTGTTTAAAATTTGGGTTTTTTTTTAAAAATTATAACATCAACATAATGTTTCATGTTGAGAATAAATAAAGATAAGACTGGCTATGTTTTTGTAACAGCTGACAGAGGTGTATTTCTGCATGGGAGAGAAACAGCAAGAATTTCCCTTTTGGCTAATGAAAATCATTTCCATGAGGTAGTTTTGAATGAAACCCCTTTTTTATGGAATCCTGTCCTTAAAAAGATAGGCAAAAAGATGATGTGCTAGGAGGCCCAATATTAATGCCAAATCACCTTCTTTTAATGGGTACTATTAAGGTACCTATGCTCTCCTTCTGCCAATGAAATCTTTCCATGCCAGGTGTTAAAAGTCCTCAGCTAAGCATGAGCAAAGATCACTACTCAAATGCACGTGTAGAATATTTGGCGCTTAGAAACAGCGGTTCATACATTCTTTTAAGAAGCAAAGGAAGACTACAGACAGCACATATGCACTAACTGGACATGGCTCCCTGTTCTTGGAGCTGTCATTGAGGTCATTCCTTGCAGTGATCTTTAGAAAACTCAAGGCAATATACAAGTGCAAGTTTGGAGGAGAAAAATCTGTCTGTATAATTATTGAATTTAAAAAAAACAACCAAACAAAAAACCTAAAGGTTCAGCTGTAGCAATAAGGTGCAGCATGCAGTGAGAATCAGTCTCATCTGCTGAAAAGGTGCACCTCAAGGGCTGCTGGAGCTTCTTCTGTTGTGACTTGCGTTGTTGTCTCAAGTAAGATGCCATCCTAATCTATTGTACTGTGTGCTCTGGGACACAGTGCGGCGGTAAGGCTTAAGAAAGTCACACAAGTCAGCAAACCTGTTCAGCGCTGTGCACAGAAGTGGTCAATTCAGAGTTCACCTGAAAAATATATACCTGCAGTGTTCAGACCTGGCCTCAGTTTCTGCTGTGAAATATCTGCAATTGGAAGATTACAGTGGGATGCTGAAGGCAGGAGCATGGTCCAAGACCAAGGCACTCTGAGCTCCTGGGTTATTTTGTAGTCCTACAGCAGACAAAACTGCTCATGTGGTTAGTGTGCAGATTTTGTTGTGTGAATATATTCAAAGCATCTCAATTTCTGATGATGTAGAATGACCTGGAAAAGAAAATAATAGCATGGATTCTGGAGCTTTTGTTTGAGGCACCGAGTAGCTTCTCAGTTGGCTCAGCTCCTGCCGACTCGACTGGTGCTCTGGCAGGAGGGCACTCTCCCTGAGTGGAGCTGTGTGTCAGCTTGAGGTCACTGATGGTACATCCTGCTCAAGGCAAAAACCTGCCCTGCATGCCTGAAAGAAGCTTTGACAATAAACCTTTTAAGAGAGTTTATTATGAAAACACAGCGTTACTAATACTCTGAAACAGTGGATTTGGATCAATTTGAAACGTAGCATTCTTATCAGCCTTAAAAGCCTGAATAAATTAAAAATATGCAGAAACCATCTGTACTGAAACTTGTTGATTGGATCTGTCAGCCTTCTTTAGAGAGAGCAAAATAATTTATTTTGGGCTATTTCTGATCCTAATTTTGAGCTTCACGACAGTCTCTATACTGCTGTAAATGTAGGGCCTGGCAGTCCTATTTCAAGCTGGCTTAATGACAGTACTCTCCATAGGCAGAATTCTGGGGCTTGGTCAAGCTTTCTCCTGTGCATCTATGGTCACAGTCGGTAGCACAGTGTTCACTTGTGAAGCATTATAATGCTTCATGCTACTTTTTCTGGCTCACATGGCAGCATGCGCTAGACAGCTGGGACTTCCGCTTGGCCCCAAGTACTGTTTGACCATCATCTCTAAGCCACTGGAGGAAGTTTCCAAAGTGATTGTACATAGGACAACTTATGCATCTTCTAGGCATCCACTTGTGATGGTCGGCTCTAGATAATTCCTCTGATCTGAAGAACTTAGCTTTCTGAAGAAAACCAATATGCTTCCAAAGATACGATAAAGAAATATCGCAGCTTTTCAAGCCTGTGACTTGATACTTCAGCAGAATTATTTAAAAATCCACTGAACGAATAATGGCCAGGTCATTAGTTTTGACTCATCTAAATCATTCTTGATGTCTCTGGAATCAAAAATACAGATGCGTGTGGGCACTGCTGGGTCAATTCTTGGAAGAGTGTTTGGCCAAATACAAGGGATTTTTTTCTGAATAAAGATGGGGACTGCAGCCTGGCATTCCGCCTTCCTCTCAGGCACTGCCTTTCCTTTATTCAGTTTTCATTTTTGAGAAAGGCATCTTGATCGCAAAGATTTTTCCAGTTGCAATAAAAATAAAAGATGGAGACAACCTCTTTTTTTTATGGGAATGTAGTGCCAATACAGGGAAGAGGCAGATCATTCTGTCCACTCATCAGAGGACTTGTCATCCATTCTTACGCTTTATGCTTCTGTTAGGGCATTCACTGCTGTGCAGTGCCACCAGTGCTTTGACTTTGCAGTTGACTGTTGACCCAGTTCGTTTATTGTACTGAGCAAAGAAGGGGCAGTTCAGTGAGTTCTCAGTGCTTAGAGGAAAATGAGTCTTGGCTAAGTGCAAACTGTATGCAGATAAGGGCAGGAGTAATTTTTTCCAGTTACTTCTCAGCCTTTACGTATGACAAAGGTTTTTAATGGTACCTTGACTCGTGTGGTTCACTGTGTTGGCTGGAGTATTGATCCTCTTCTCTGTTAAGGCAGCAGCGGGGGGCGGAAGCTTCCTCCTACACCACTGTGCTTGACAAGGAGGTTAACTTGTATGATTGATACCAATTTTCTTTAACCATGCTCTTGTTTCCAGAGTCCTGGAGAACTGAAGCATCCTCTGCAGTGGGCTGCTCCTGAAAACTTTGCCTACTGTAGAAAGTTTTAGCTTTGCTTCAGGGTTTCTAAAGCAGGTCTTTCTCCTACCCTGTATCTTACAATGGTTTAGGTACTTCTGGAGACTGTCTAGTCCAAACCTTTGCTCAAAACAGGGTCACCTAGAGCAGGCATCCGGTTGAGTTTTGAATATCTCCAGGAGCGGAGACTCTATAACCTCTCTGGGCATCCTGCTCTAGGCTGTCACCACCTTTAAAATAAAAAGAAGCTTTATGTTTGAATATAATTTACTGTATTTCAGTTTGTGTCCATTTCTTCTTATTTTATCAGCCACCACTGAGCAAAGTCTGTCTCTGTCTTCTGTACCCCCTTCCCATCAGGTATGTGTGCATATTATGAAGATCCCCCTGAGCCTTCTTCAGGCTGAACAATATCAGCTTGCTCAGCCTTTCCATGTATGTCAGGTGCTCCAATGCCTTAATCATGTCTTGCCATTTGCTGGACCCACTCCAGTACATCCATATTTTTCTTGCAGTCTCATTTGTACTGGTTGTCAGCTGAGTCCTGGCTGAGTTTAAAATGCTGGGTTTTCTGAGTCCTAACCACCTAACAGAAGCAAATGTTTCCTGCCTTGGTCCTGAGGGGCAGGGTTCCCTGACTGTTGGATCACTGTGGGCTTCACAAGTTGCTTCCTATTGATCAGATGAGCGCATAGTTGGAGAGGAAGCTTTGTGGAGACAAGACAGGTTGGAGCTGCTTAATTGCAGCAGATCTTGTAACTGATGGTTCATTGGTGACATGTGCCTGTACAGACAATGTTTGCTGCCTAAAGCTCTGAAAGTGTTTGATTTTTCTAGGCTATGAATTGCATGATGTGGGGCACTTTGTGGTTGTGGGTTTTTTTTTTGTGCTCTCTTTCTGCACGTTTCTGCACTTGCTAAGCATGCTAGTGGGAAGTGGGAGAGTTAACATCTGGTCAGTGCTGGTTTTGCTTTTCTGAGAGTGATGTCTGATATCAGCTGTATCATGGCCTCAGGTATATGCCAGGCCAGACTTTGGTGTGTATGTGAAAGGTATCTGGTTGCACAAATAGTTTATGCAAAGGTGAAGACTTGTCTGAAGTATCTCTAGCAAGCACTGAGGCTGTGTGCTCTGTGATCAAGCCTTGTATGAGGTTTCTGTGCTATATACACTGAGACTCGTTCAGCCTCTCCATTTATAACACTTAATAAGCAGCAAGTTGTGGAACAGAAGGGACCTACAATATTGGACACAACAGCCTACTGTTCCGCTGCTGCAGTACTGTAATCCCAGAAACCTATGTGAGAGGCCAGTGTGCTTGTCAGAATGAGCACTTGCGAGTAAATTCCATGGATAACCCAGCTTAAACACAGCATCCCTCGGTCGTGAATGTCTTCCCTTGTCACCCAGCCTGTGGTGCATGAAGGGTGTCGATCTAGCAATTGTTCTTCCTCGTTACAGTTAAAACAGGGTTTTCTCCTGTAAACACTGATGCAGGCTGCTTGCTTCTTGTCAAAGCACCTGAGGTAGCAAGACTTCGGGAGGTTCTTGGGAGAGACTCTGGAAGTGGATAGGAATGCTGAGGGAAAAGGGGATTTGGCAATTACTAACTCTGCGTGCTCTCCGTGGCAGGCAGACACATTAGCT